TGTGTCTTGACCTCTCAACTGTGATTTGTCACAATGCGGACAACAGCTTTCATATCCTATGCATAATTTCAAGGGAGAGAAAAATGACATCTTATTGACCAGAGGATATGACCAAACATAGTGTCTGGTTGCTGTCCACATTTTTAGGGATGCCCCTTGCTCTTAGGGTTGTTTCACATTCCTCCTGTGTGATCCTGTAGAACAGTAGGAGATTGGTCATCTGTTCTTAGCTCTTAACAATTTCATTTCCTTATTCTTTACAACTAATTTATAGCTGTTTTCCTTACCTTGGGACCACACTTTGCCTCTTATGATGTTGTTACCATGATACCAAAAAATTTTAAAAATTAAAATGTGAATGCCCACGCATAATTTATTTAGTTCCCTTGAATTCAATAAACGGAACTAATACTTGCTCTAATCAGTGATTTCTAAACTTGTTTTCCTCTCCTCCTTTTTGGTTATTAGTAGAACTTGTCTTTCCATACCATAATAATAACAGATAAAAGGCTACCTTGACTGGAGAAGTTTAGGGAGAAGTTCATCACCTTTGACAGCCACCAACACACCTTTAAGTTGAGGTTGGAAATTGTTGTTCTAGTCATGTATTATCATAGAGGCATAATTAAGTTAAAAAATATATTGCCATCATTATCTGTAATAGCTCAGAGAATTAAAAAATTCTGTAGCTGTAAGAGGATTAAGACCAAATCCTGCGTACCTTTCTCCTGGAGAGGAAAGAGGCAGAAAGGGTTTCTAGATCAAGGTTGTTGTTTTTGTTAGTGGTAAAGCCATACCAAATCCCTGGTCTTCCATTTCCCAGTGAAACGATCTTTTGTTGTGGTGATGGTTCAAAGGTTACCAGGGCTCCTCTTTCTTTGGGGCTCTTTCTGACTACTTACTCCTTCTGAATTCTGAGTCAGACATGCACTTCCGAGATTTTGAAAAAATTGTTTTGCATATTCAATCATGCTTTCCGAAAAGAAGCAGTAACTTTGCTTCAATAGGGAAAACCACAAAGGGCCACATAAAGGCCAGTCCTTGTCACCCAGTTCTCCTAACCACACATCTCTAACTTCTGCTCCCCTAACTTTCTCCCTCCACAAAGTCAAAATTAAAAGTGTGTCTGCTCCTTTGGAAGCAGGGCCTGCCTTTGGCACAGCCCTTTAACATTTGCCAGAGCAAGTAAGCCTTTTTCAGACTAGGAGCTATTACATTGGGAGGTAAAGATGACTGATCTAGAAGAATAGAACATAAGAAAAAGAGTGTTTTATTATTTTTAGGTAGGAAAAACAGACTATTAATATATCCTAGATGGAGAGATTGCAAAGCCATACGTTTCTCAAGATGGATTGGTTGGAAAGGGGAGAGAGAAAAAGATAACTCTAAGAGAGACTCTTCATATCTTTTTTTTTTTTTTCCTGGAAGAGCTTTTATTCCTGCTGTGATCAGTGGGCACTTAATTTGCTTACTAATGCTACCCCCAGCCTCATTTAAATATATGTATAAATGTTGCTTATTAGCCATTCTGGAAACGTAGTGGACATTAAGTAGATCAGAACTTTTTGAACTTCAGAAACTCATGCTTAATTATCTCCCACAAAAAAACTAAAATATCCTAGAAAAAGTCTTTAAATAATTTTGCACATATACTTTGTGAGTTTGTGCGTGTGTGTGTGTGTGTGTGTGTTGGGACTGAATCAGAAGAAGAGAGAGCCAGAAAACTTGTAACATCTGATTTTCTGAGGGAAAAATACGTTTTGGCGATTCTTGCCCTCCTGGGTGTTAAAGGACTACCTAAATGAGTACTTTGCTTTAAATCTTATTCCATTTAAAAAAAAAATTTAGTAGTGACACCACCCACCCTCCCCAAAATTATTGTTAAGAATGAAATACATTCACCATGTGCTTCAACAGAAATTTGTAGGTAACACTCTTCAGGCATTCAGCCAGAGTGGGCACTCCTTCCTAAGGTTTCAGAAAACATGAAAACCACAAAGAATGTTCACAATTATTTTCTCTTGGTTGGCAGAACAGATGCCTTTCCTCAAGGAAAGTGCTATATGCCAAAACAAAGCCATATTCATTAAAAATATATTGTTTACTAATTGCGCAGACTCCAAATTATATAAAATTTATTTTCAATTCAAGGGGCTTACTTTTCTAAGAAAGTTTTATAAGCAAAATAGTACAGGAAGACAGGCAGAGGATAAAGTATTAAAAGAAATCAACTATACTAAGAGCTAGAGCAGTTTAAGAAACAACAATGCAAGTGCATTGAAAGGAAATCAGGCAATGTGGACGTGATTTTGTCTAGACGTCATGGCTGGCTTTATTTATAAGGGGATTGTCAAATCAATCTGTAGAATATGGATGAGGTAAAACACAGAGATAGGGTATTATTCTAGATCATCTGTAACTTTTCAAATACAACCTTCATGCTGAAATTCCAGGGAGAATGTAAGTGACTCCAATAAAGAAACCTGTCAGTCAGTCAAGGGTATTTATTTATTATCCCCCTGGGCTAGGCACTATTCTAGCTAATATGAGGCGATACAAAATAAAGAGTAGTCGTCATCCTTATAATCTTTTATGAACAAATGGATTTAATCTACAGACACACACACACACACACACACAACACACACACACAAACATTCTATGTGGGTGGTAAGAAACTCAAGCATATGGGCATACCATAGTCTTATTTAGAAAAATCCTGATTGAAAAATTAAACTTACAAAATTAGAAAATCTGGGGAGTAATTAATTTTATTACAAATTGGTCATGCCTTGCATAAGGATATTTGGGTCAACGATGGACTGGATATATATGACAGATTATAATGGAACTAAAACATTCCTATTGCCTAGCAACATGGCAGCTGTTATAAAGTCATAGGAAAATGCAATTATTCACAGTTTGTAGTGATGCTGGTACAAACAAACCTATTGTAATGACAGTCATAAAAGTATAGCACATACAATTATGTCCAGTACATGATACTTGATGATGAAAATAAATGACTATGTTACTGGTTTATGTATTCATCATACTACATTTTTATCAGTATTTAAGAGTTTGCTCTTTCTACTTACAAAAGCCAAGTTTACCATAAAACATGTTGTGCTATGAGGGCAGCAGCCTCGTAACGTTTCTGTTTACTGAATTTCTTGATTGCATCATTTTCTCTTGTATTTACCTTAATGTCCATTCTTTTGTACAGTAGCATGCTATACAGGCTTGTAGGCTCTACCAGTAGGCTCTAACCATACAGCCTAGGTGTGTAGTAGGCTATATCATCTAGGTTTGTGTACGTGCACTCAATGATGTTTACACAGTGATGGAATTGCATAATGACTCTTTTCTCAGAATGTATACTGGTTGTTAAGCGGCACAGACTATATACATTAAAAGGCATTCATGAAGCATGTCTTTTATGTAACAAGTCGAATTCTCTGTTAAAACTGGAAACACTCCCACTCTCCTTCACAAATCTACAAAACGCTTTTGGAACACATTTATTGCTCAAATATGGATTCACATTGATGTTGAGAAGCTGCAAAAGTGAATAAAATAGCAAGGCTGTGTCCTCTAAACTGCAGGTTCTTTGAGTCAAAGACTGGAACTTATATATTTGCCTTGATATCCTGTGCTCTGTCAAGATAGAAATGGTAAGAAGAAGAATGTATGAATGGGATAGATGAGTAAAGGTTTCAAATTGGAGCTGAGCTTGGTAGAGTTTTAAGAGGAGAAAAAGAGAAGAGGATGTCACAAGCAGGGCGGTCAGGCTGGTTGGTCTTGGTTGGGTGTTCAAACATAGGAAGAAGGTTTGGCGTCTTGAGCAAGACCGAGGAAGGGTCAGCTATTGGTTTGGTACAGTAAGAGGTGGCCCCTGCCTAAGCATCCCTGGATCCTTTTTCAGCGTAGTTCTTCTCAATACTCAGTAAATGACCTTGCAAGGTCAGAAAGGGCAAATCCTTAAAAAAGAGACATTGGTTGGAACTCCACCCCTATTTCAGCATATATATCCTTCCTTCCAACTCCTTCTGGAGCACCATCCCTGGTAGAACTGTTTGCATTGACTTAACCAGGGGTGGGGTGATATTTCTGATTTCCCTGACGTAATTTTAGTGTGGCCCAGCTAGAACGCAAATTTTAGAGGACAGGGACTTTTCACTCTCACAGTCTCAGCTCCTAGGAGTGTCCCATACATAGGCATTCAATACACAGTATTTGTTAACTAAATGAACGTTATTATTTTGGGCGTTCGTCTTTACTTTTGCTTTATCGACCTTAATGCAGAGAGCTGGACACTAGAGGGAAATCTTTGAATTCCAGTTTTCATTCTTCCTTTGGCGCAGAAACTCTGGCCAAGCCCTTTGGGAATGGGGATCCCCTTGGAATTTAATGACAAGTCTCGGCCACAGGGGGCGGGGAAGAAGGAAAGTTGCAGAAAGTTCTTCCTCGGTTCTTTTTGCTTTTGTAGCACCCTTCACCATCCATCTTGTTCTTTATTTGGGGTTAGGGGCGTCCTGTATAGAAAGGAAACCAGGGGCCACTGTTCTGACTGCATTCTTCTCCGGGACCCTTTGGGTTCTGCCTGCAGGAGCCCCGCGGTAACCCCTGACCGTGCCAGCACCTGTTGGACGGCCACTTGGTGGCCCTAGCCAGTGCCAGAGGACGCGACCCGGGGGTCCCCCCACCCCTCTCCGTAGGCGGCGACCCCCGCCCTTCCCCTTCGGCCGCCTGCCGGAGAGCGGCTCAGCCTCCCGGCTCGCCGGCCGCTCACTCCGCCCGGGCAGGGCCCACCGCCCCCTCCTCCCGACTCCGCCGGCAGGGGGAAGGTAGAGAAGGGGAGGGGACAAGCCGGAGCCTTGGCCCGCCCGGCCTTCTCTCTCTACCCGGTGCTGAGACGCGGCACCGAGCCCCGTGGTTTGCACGGAGCCTGAAGCATTTGGGGGAGAGCGCCAGGAACTACCGGAGCCCCGCCGTGACCCCGACCTGCCGAATTTCCCTGGGCTTCGAGAAGCGAGGGAAGCACCCCAAACAAGGTGAACTTTGATCGCGGAAAACTCAAGCCAGGTGCCGGGATCCGTGCTGCGGAGGTCGGGGCCGGGATCAGGCTGATCACGGGGCTGGGAAGCGGGAGCCCCGCGGCCTCCCTCCGCCCGCGCCCAGGGCGGCCTCGGCCCGGCGGCCCCCCCACCCCTTCCCGGCCCCGCTCCGGCTCCTCTGCCCCGGGGACCCGCCGCGGCGCTCTCGCCTTGTTTCTTCCCCCTCCCCCTTCGGGGGTGGGGGTGGGGCGGGGGAGAGGGGCGCCCGGAGAGCCGCATCTATTGGCAGCTTTGTGATTGATCAGAAAGTGCTCGCCGCCAACTTGGCTTCGAGGCTGTCTACGCGCGACCCTTGAGTTTTCGCCTCTGTCCAGTCCCCCAAACTGACAGGTGCTCCCAGCAACTTGCTGGTGACTTCTTCGCGCTGCCCCGGCTCCCCCGCGTCCCCACCCCCCTCTTTCCTCCCTCGACTTCACCCCCACCCCCACTACTTCGGCACAGCTCAGGATTTGTTTAAACCTTGGGAAACTGGTTCAGGTCCAGGTTTTGCTTTGATCCTTTTCAAAAACTGGAGACACAGAAGAGGGCTCTAGGAAAAAGTTTTGGATGGGATTATGTGGAAACTACCCTGCGATTCTCTGCTGCCAGAGCAGGCTCGGAGCTTCCACCCCAGTGCAGCCTTCCCCTGGCGGTGGTGAAAGAGACTCGGGAGTCGCTGCTTCCCAAGTGCCCGCCGTGAGTGAGCTCTCGCCCCAGTCAGCCAAATGCTCCTCTTCGGGCTTTTCCTGCTGATGTCTGCCCTGGCCGGCCAGAGACACGGGACTCAGGCTGAGTCTAACCTGAGTAGTAAATTCCAGTTCTCCAGCAACAAGGAACAGAACGGTGAGTCTGTCCCCCCAGTCTCCCCCTTCTCTCCCCCTTCTCGTGTCTTGCTCTGTGTGTGTGTGTGTGTGTGTGTGTGTGTGTGTTACGTTGGCATTGTGCGTTGGTGTGTGATGTGCACCAGCCTGCGAGGGTAGAAGCGTTCCGTACCCATGCAAATACGCGCTGCGTTCATGGGCACGGGCTTTTAGAGGTTACGTGCAGTTTGCAACTTCGGGAGCTGCCACAAAGCTCTAGCAGGGCAACAGGAGTGCCAGTGCAGCCCCAGCGAGAGAGAGGACCTCCTGCGAGCGATCGTGAAGTTCAAACGCACACTGCAGGACCTCTCATTGCCAGAGTTATAAGTTCAAGAACTGCCTCTAAAAACGAATCCAAAATGAATGAGTCTTGGCATGTTTGACTTTACTCGTTTTTTTTTTTTTTTTTTTTAAATTCGGGAGGGGGCTGTTTCAGGAAATGTATCAGCCGCATTAATTGAAGCACTTTTAAGTAGAAAGGCATCAATCAGTAAGTAGATAGGAAATATAGAGGTCAAGAGGCCGAGTGGACGCTTTTAGGGAGAATTTTAAAAAATGTATTTCTCTTGTGCTTCTTTTTTTTTTTTTAATGTGCCTTTGTGTGTACTCTGAAGTCCTTACGTTACTGGTGGTGTGTTTTTATATGTGTTAGTGAATGACTGCTATTTTGTGTGTGCGGGAAACGACTTAATCCTGCATAGGAAATGAGAATTACTTTCAGCTTTCAAGTGTACCTGAAATGTTTAGAAAACTCTCAGATGCAAGTTCCCTTGGGCTGGGATTGCACAGAGCTGGAGAAAGGCTCCTTTCATAAAGCCAAGGGCAGCTTCAGGGTGTGTAATTTGCTTAGCCTCTGAACCCATATGATTTACATCATTCAATTTCTAAACTCTTTTTCTCTTGATCTACCATTATGAAGTCATTTTTGAGAATACCTTGTAAATAGAAATTTTATACTGCACATGAAACCGCAATGTTAATGTAGCCTGTCTAAAATTAGAATATTAAATACCCTGTTTACAAGTGGTGGCTCTTAGTGTTATTTGAAAAGAAATGTACATGTGTTTAGTGCTTTGTGTGTCATCCATTGCAAGTGCAAAAATGCTGTCACCTCATTAGCCAGGCAAAATGAACACAAACAGCATACCTAGAAAATCAGAATGGTGTGTACTGTATTTTTAAGTCACAGAAACTTTTTCTTTATGTATTGGGGTGTTTCCAAGTTTTAACTTTGAATTTAAACTCTTTAAAGTATTCATCTTTAGGAAAGCACAGGAAGTTCTAGAGTACAAAAATAAGGATTCCCGGGACCTTTGTACACATTATTTGTACTTGTTGTATGTGAAGCAATCTATGGTGTCACATTTATCAGACAAGTTAATGTGGGTGCGTCTTACAACTTGCTAATATGATGGCACATGGCACCTGCAGGCTGCTTGAGTTGCTGATCAAAGGGCAGCCAAAGGATCTATCTCTAATCACAGGAGCTGCAGAGGACTGGGAGAAAGTGATCAAAGGAGCCATAGCACCAGCTGTACCCTGGCAGGAAACAGATCAGACCAACCTTTGTTCTTTCTCATGTAAAATAAATGTCCAGTTCAAAATATTGCTTCTTCCTAGACAAGTGTCTCCTGGATGACAATGCCCAACATTCCTGGCTTCTAACTTTTATTTTTTTATTGTTCCTGTCCCATATCATTTCTCCTGCTGCCCTGACTTATCAAGCCTGTCCTGGCATCTGTCATCTTCCTGCTGATTCCCTTTGCTACTGTGCCTCTCATTGTCCTTTCTGTGTCATTATTTCTTGTTATCCACATAGCATGATCACTTAGTAATAGGCCCCAGAGCTCTCAAGTGGTCATTGGCCGCTTTATGGAGTAGGTTTACGCCCTTCCGAGAGGTGAGTTCATTAAGCCAGGCCACACACATTCTGTTGCCATCAGAGGCTGGGCCATTGCCATTCCTAAGATGCACGTGCTAAAAATAGCCTGGTTGTTTCCTAATCTGTGGGCAGAGGATTGGGCTATGTTTAGCTCTTAGGAGGCTGGCAGCAGGAAGTAACTAGAAGTAGAGAAACGACTCACCTTGTAGTTTTTAGCCTAAGGAGAAGTGGGGCAGCCCAGCACTAGGGGGCAATAGAGAGCTATTTTCCTGCACATGCTCAGGTTGATTTTTGTCCCTCAAGGTACCAAGATTTGAGGATAACAAGTAGGTGCTGAAGAACATCCCCTTGGAATGGGAATAAATTTGCTAGAACCTCTCTTTTTGTGTGTGGCTTTCAAATTTTCCATTCCTTTATGTGGGTATTTTTTGCCTTCATATTGAATTATGGTTGATTTTTTTAATGGAACTATTTGCTCTCCTCACTTTAGATTGTTGGCTAATTCTCTAAGTACAAACCCACCTGAAGATGTCACATAGAAAAATTCTATTAGCTCAGTTTGTGCATTGCATTATTCTGTGAAAGGTTTTCTAAGTGCTAAATATGAAATGTCCACCTCGATCATTTGTGACTGTAGTTCATTCCCGCTTTCAAGGACTCCTCCCCAATGATACTCTCTTTCCTAGAGCATTCCAAAGTCTTAAATGATGTTGACTCAATCAAATCCCCAGGTCTGCTCAGTTTCAATATTAACTTGGTATCTCGAGTGGTGTTATACAATATAAATGAACAAACAAAACAGAAAGACTGGTAGATACAGAGAACAGAGTGATGATTGCCAGAGGGGAGGGGAGTTGGGGGACTGGGTGAAAAAAGGTGAAGGCATTTAAAAGTGCAGATTGGTAGTTACAAAGTAGTCATGGGGATGCAAAGTACAACATAGGAAATGGAGTCAATAATATTGTAATAACTGTGTACGGTGCCAGGTGGGTACTGGAAATATAGAGGGGTATATTTTGTAGAGAGTATGATTATCTAATCACTATGTTCTACATCCCAAACTAATAGTAAAAAAAGAGAGGAAAAACGAGGTGTTATAAATTAAAATTGATTGTTATAGCCAATGTTACATATTTGGATGTAGACTGGAATATGTGGCGGTGCTTCAGAATTAGTTTTGAGGGATGTGTCATTTATTCTCTTATCAGTTACCTGGGTTTTGATGTAATACTGTATTGTGATTCCTGCCACTTTACTTTAAAAATAACTTTATTATATGACATTATAAGTTGTCTTTGTGTCATTCATTCTCAACCTTACTTCCAATCCTGAGTCTCACATATAAACCAATAGTATCCAGATTTAGCTTAAAGAAGGAAATGAAAGAAAAGGACACTTACTTATGATGGATTTTTGGTCTGCACTTCCTGCATGACCTTGGGAAAAACGACTGTTATCCGGGTGCACTCATTTTAGAGGAGAGTGCCTACCATGAAACAAGTTAGTTCTAGGATGACATTCTGAGTTGCAGCAGAAAGAATCACATACATCAAAAATAAAAATGATCCAACGCTTACTTAATCTATTGCTTATAGTCCAAATGAACACCAATCACAAAGTTGTTAATGGAGTCAGGCCTCATCTACCTTGCACTGCTGGTGAGTGATTTTAATTTACCAACAGACCCAAAACATGCTTCTCAGCATTCTTATTTTCTTTAACCATTTTGAGTGAAGATTCGGAATACCCCTCTGTTAGTTAGGGTTGTCTTATAAACATCACTTATTGTGTGTGCTTTTTCCTTAAAGACTTTTGTGGCCTGCCTACCGGCCATTGGAGACAAATGGACCCCTAGTCGTGCCTTTCTGAGGACATGTGTTTTGTGTTTATGGCTTCTCTGTCTCTTCTCTTTCAGTGCCAGCCTTCTCTTTCTCCCACTGCCTATGTTTCTGTATCTAACCAGACTGCACCCATTCCCCAGCCCTGTTTAGGTGGCAGCTCCGTTTTACTGAAAACCAGATAATTACAGTTCCTAGAATAGTGTCCAAGAGTAAATAGTCTCTGACTGAGGACAAAAGGGACTTCCCTATCAATTAGTCTATAAGTTGTACTGTGTGACCTTTGTGACATTTATTTTTGTTGTAGAGACTGTTTTTTTGGTCTTTTTTTTTTTTTATGAAAAGCAACTTCCTCCTTGTTCTCTGCTCTTTTTGAGATAGTTGAGGAAGTTGAAGAAATAAAGCGTCATTATATAATGAAGATTTTTTTTTCAGGATAGGTGGCAAAAAAAGCCCTGTTGTATTTTATGGTAACTTTTTCTTCCCTTCTAATTGTTTTGTTTTACATGTAATCTGATATACTTTGTATTGCCCTCTAAATGGTAACCAGAAAGTACAAAGGTCTGGAAGAAGCTTCAGGGACTAGACTATCATGTGTTAAGTAGCTGTAGATAGATGCTAGGGTTCCATACTAAACTATTTGGTAGAGCTCTGTCTCAGGCACCAAAATTCTAGCTTTGTCTATTCTTATCTCATCCTTCATGAACCTTATTTCTTGCATACCTTTCTTATATTCTCTTTGACTGCATGGTTTTTCTAACTTTGTACTGCTAAACTTATGTTTTATTTCCAAACTTGCACAGTTTTTGTAGAAATAGAATTCTAATGATAATGTGACATGTGTTAAAGAAATTATAATTGAATTAATGGATTCATAACGTCTACATTTCCCTACCCCACCCTTGGCAAATGTTTTGAAGACTGGTAAAACTTTCTTCATGGGTTTCTATTTGTATCAAACCAAATAGTGGAAGTCATAATAAAAGTCATTTCATTTACATAGTCTAACTTTATGTTTCTGCTTGTTTTATTTGAAAACATTATACATAGCCAGGATATCTTCATATAACTTTTTATAATTTCTATATAACTCATTTATTAAACAACTAATGTGCATTATATTTCCACAACTGCCTCCAACTGCTTTTTCTTTTTCAAACTTCTCTTTCCTGCCACCTACGGACACCTCCAGTGGTTGAATTTCAGTTGGTTTGCCTGTGGCTTGAAGGCCATGGACTAAGGAGGGGTATGACCTCTTTCAAG